CATATATATTTATATGGTGATGGAGAAAAGTGTATAGCGAAGAAAGAATAATTGTGAATGGTGATTTTGAACATATAATGATAAGAAAAGAAATAATTTTGGTGAAAGTGAATCTAAACTTATAATCTAAAGGTAAGAAAGAATTATGGTGAAAAGTGATTTTGAAATTATAATGATAAAAGACATTGACTTCTATACAATCACAACAAAAGATGATTGAATTTATAACAACAATTGAAAGTAACTTTCAATTTATAATGATAATACAAGGTGATATTTAATTTATGACAGTAACAGGTGATTTAAATAAGTAATGACAATAGAAGGAGGTGTAGAATGTACTTCTTCTTCTTCTTCACTTCCTCTTTTACCGCTATGGGTGTGGAGGGAGATATAAGGTTCTGTTTCTAGCTCTTCTGGCTGCCTCGACCATAGGCACATCGTGCTGTTGTAGAGTTTCTCTGATGTTATCCTTCCATCTTGTTCTTGGTCTACCCCGTGCTCTACGTCCTTCTCTTTCCATGTATGCTTTTTATGGTATGGTGTCACAAGGCATTCTCTCTAAGTGGGCAAACCATTTCACTTGCTGTCTTTGTATGTAATCCAGAATTGGTTCTGTGCCGACTTGTTCTCTTATGATCTCATTCCTGATCTTATCTCTTATGGTCACTCCTACAGCCCTTCTCAGACATCTCATTTCCGTGGTTACTAATTTTGTAGAATGTACAATGAGTTGGAATTTACTTTTACTTGATACTGATAACAGTTTATAAGTTTTAATATATGATGATAAGCAAATGTGATTTTATGATGAAAGACAGTGATAAATTTACAATACATATTGCCAAGAAGTCAGATAGTAATTAGGAGGTGACACTAGGGTTGCCAGAAACTCCCTTTTTTGTGGGGGGGGGGGGGAATTTTGTTCCCACGAAGTGCATTTAGCATGCTGATTATGTATATTTTACAGCCTTTCAGTACTGAAAAATGTCATTATAAACAAAGAAATTGTCCCTCTCTTTCTTATTTTACAAAATCTGGCAACCCTAGGTGATACTGATGTGTGTATAAATGAAATAATGTGACTGTGATTGAGTCAAGTAAATCACTAATCAAAGGACTTAAATGCCAAGTATTTGTTTTTTTGTAATGACATCATCATCTAGTTAGTTAGTTAGTCCACAGATTATCCTCATTGCACATCGAACCACTCAGTCCATAAGTGATCGGATCCCTTCCTCAGTAAATCTCATAGCGTGTAGCGGCTGACGACACTAGTCCTGTGTTGGTTTCTTATTCTTCTTTGGCTTCCTGCATGGTGCTCTTGTCTGTACACACCCCTTTTAACATGTTCTTACAGTCTGGTCATGGTTGCATTTCACAGTCACTTGGTTCTCACAAAAGTATTCAGTACATCAGCCTGGTCCATGGTTAATCTTCCCTTCTTAGTAGCCTTACCTGCAAGCCTATCAGCTTGCTCATTTCCTTGCACTCCTACATACCCTGGCAGGAAGATGACCTGACCACTTTAGACACCAAACACTGTCTTTCAGCCCAACCCATCTCTTTCTTCCTGAGCATATTAATTGAGTCACTGAGAAAGCATGCATGGTTGAAAATCTGAGGTCTCCAGCCCCGTTATTGCTTTAGTCACTGCCATGACCTTCATGGTCAGGCTACTTGTAGTCAAGGCATCTAGTTGTCCCTACAATGTGATGGTCAGTGCCTACAGGTAAGAACATCTAGTGATAGCTATAAAAATGATGGCCACTGATGAAGTGAATATCACAGTTCAGGGTAGTTAATGTTTATCACACATCTGAAACCACGAACACCTACCATCCATGGCTGACAAATATCCAGAACCTTCTGCTACTTGGATATATTCCTTATACAGGTCCTCTTCATCCTCCATCTTCTCAGCCGGAGGATATTGGAATTGGCTAGTGTCCAGCGGCAGAAACACCTCCAGGATGTTGGACATCCGAGTCTCAGTTGAGTCTAAATCATGAACAGAGCCCATAATTACTGTATTTTTACATGTATAAGATGATGTTTTCCAAAATTATTGAAGTTTAAAACTGGGGGCTGTCTTATACATGGGGGCTGTCCTATACATGGGGGTTGTCTTATACATGGGGGCTGTCTTATACATGGGGGCTGTCTTATACATGGGGGCTGTCTTATACATGGGGGCTGTCTTATACATGGGGGCTGTCTTATACATGGGGGCTGTCTTATACATGGGGAGCTGTCTTATACATGGGGGCTGTCTTATACATGGGGGCTGTCTTATACACGGGAGCTTATGCATGGCAGCTGTCTCATACATGGGGGCTGTCTTATACATGGGGGCTGTCTTATACATGAGGGCTGTCTTATACATGGGGGCTGTCTTATACATGGGGGCTGTCTTATACATGGGGGGGGGTCTGTCTATACATGGGGGGTCTGTCTTATCATGGGGGCGTCTTATACATGGGGGCTGTCTTATGCATGGGGAGGGGGGGGGGGGTGGGGTGCTGTCTGTCTTATACATGTGGGCTGTCTTGTGCATGGGGTGGGGGGTTGGGGAGGGCTGTCTTATACATGGAATGTATTTATTATATTTACTTCCTAATTCTGGGCTATAAAATAGGGGTTATCTAATACATGTGAGGATCTTATACATTGGGGCATCTTATACACAGGGCCTCTTATATATGGGGGCATCTTATACATGGGGGCATCTTATACATGGGGGCATCTTATACATGGGGTATCTTATATACGGGGGCATCTTATACATGGGGGTATCTTATATACGGGGGCATCTTATACATGGGGGTATCTTATATACGGGGGCATCTTATACATGGGGGCATCTTATACATGGGGGCATCTTATATACGGGGGCATCTTTTGCATGGGGGCATCTTATATATGGGGGCATCTTATGCATGGACGCACCTTATGCATGGACACATCTTATACATGGAGAAATACTGTAATTGGTATTACTGTTGCTTCGGAGAGTGGTGACAGTCTAGTGGCTAGATGTTAAATTGTTGACTACAAGGTCTTGGATTTGATTCGTCACTGATGTTGATTTTTTGGTAATTAACCTGTGCTCCCATGTCGATCAAGCCTAAAAAAGGTACCAGGTAATGTTCTGTGAAGTAAAGGTGGCTGGCATTATGTTGACCACATCACCCTCTGTGTGCTGATTGGCTGTAAAAATAGTCTAGCTTCATTTGCCTGACGTGCCAAACTGGCATTAAAAAAAGATCCTTTACCTTTTCTATAACTATCACTTTTTTGGGGTAAAAATTATGAAATGATACTATAAATGATGTCACCTCGCTACAGCTGTTGACGTTTTGCGGTACAATTTAGCTTTTTCACCCCATTTCATGGGCTGTGAGATTTGGTAGGGAATTCCTAGGGAGTTATCGCGGAAGGTCCTATAGTCTAGATGGGTTGGGGTTAGGGTTAGCTTCTTCTTCTTTTTTAGTTCACCAGAAATAGACGACCTATATCTGCAATGTCGTCTCTAGTATGAACTTCACTGTATTCTGTAATTCACTTAGAGACCTGTTAAGTTAGACTTGAACCAGTGTTTCTCTTTGGCAGACGTTAGGCGATGGAATCAGAGATATTTTGGGGCAGGCATTAAAAAGGGCCTTTTTGGGGTGTCAGCGGGGAAGGGCCCTGAAAAGGAGCGACAGTCCATGCCTGCATATGTGTCAGTTAAGGTTATGGTTAGATGCAGAAATGCTGACAGGTCAAGGAAACTCATGATGAAGGTGAAGTTACTAGGGCAAAGTTATGAGGGGGAAGTTATGAAGTAATAACACCATTTGCAAACGGGGCACAATGATTGTGATGAATGAACAAAAGTAACACACAATGGAAATGATAACGCATTAAACGATGAACATGCTGATAACAACCTACACATGACATGCCTAGAACCTAGCATTTTAATGTAGAGGGTAACTGTTAAATGACCACCGACTAAGATTGACTCTAACCCTAGCACCCTTATACTATAGGACCTTCTGGAGAACTCCCTATGAATTCCCTACCAAATCTTATAGCTGCTGAGATAGTGTGAAAAAGCTGAACCCATTTTGCTACAGCTGATGACATCTTGCTACAACTGATGACATTAGGCAACAACTGATGACATTTGAATACACCTAATGACATATGACTACAGCTGATGACATAATTACTACAAATTAGACAGCAAGCACCACTAACCTTTTAATAAAGCCTTGACATGGATTTTGTAAGTTGTGTTGAGTTCACAACTGCTGACAACTACTTTACACCTGTTGGACTCTGGATCAGGCACAAGCTGAAAGTACACAACAGCCCAAAATATGTATTTAACTGTTTCCACATTGTTTTTAATGGTATTAGCCTTCTTAGACTTCTTCTTCTTCCTCCTCTCCCTCTTCCTTGTTATCTTCCTTACCCTCTTCCTCTTCCTTGTACTCCTCCTTGCCCTCCTCATCTTCTTTGTCTTCTTCCTTTTTTTCTTTTTCCTGTCTTTCTCTTCCTCCGCCTCCTCTTCCTCGTCCTCCTCCTCTTCCTCTTTCTTGTCCTCCTCATCCTCCTCTTTCTCGTCCTCCTCCTTTTCCTCTTTAAAGTCCTACTCCTCTTCTTATTCCTCCTCTTCCTATCTCTCCTCCTCCTCTCCCTCTTCGCCTTCCTTGTCCTACTCCTCTTCCTCTTCCCCTTCCTTGTCCTCCTCCTCTTCCTCTTCCTTGTCCTCCCATTCTCCTTCCTCCTCCTCTTCTTCTTCTGCCTCCTCCTCATCCTTCTCTTCCTAATCATCTTTGCTTCTGTCCATTTTTTTTTTTCAATATATGATATACTGAAATATTACTAATGTACCTGCCATTTATGGAATCTGCAGTAATAATACCAGATGTTCAGCCTCAAACAACATCAAAAAAAGATTAACAATAACAATATTTCCCCGTACGAACATAGTGACAGGTATAACTTACTTTAGGACCACACTGTTGGTCATTGAGATAGATCACATAACTTTCCACTGATGTATCCATGGTATCCACTGACATCCAGACAATGGATAAGCTGTCCGGTTTATCAGACTTGACCAATGAAATCAGAGGCCCACCTCCCTCAGTCTCAATGGGACACTGCAGGTTCTATAATTGTAAACAAATATTTTCAGCTATAAGTCTGCATATTAAGTTGAGAAATATCCAGCGGATAATTTAGCAAATCCTAATTTTACTTCTACTTCCACAAATAAATTATAAAGGTCACACAGAACAATAACAAAAATCTTGGTGAAGAAAGTCCATGCCATCTTTGGGCTATAGATAGGAGATACTATGAAAAATTCCTCATGGGAACAATCATTAAAGATACCTTGAAGTGGCTGTTGCACTGAAGGACTGAACACGCATGGTAATGACCAGTGTGTAAAAACGTCGACTGTGATAGGTTTGAGGTTTGAAGTTTGAACAGCTGATCAACATCATGGCACAGGGGTAGTAACCCATAAGTTAGTTAGTTAGTTAGTTAGTTAGTTGGGTTATCCTCATTGCACTATGGACATGTCCATAGGTGCTCAGATCCTCCCCTCAGTATGAACCCCAACGTCCGATGGCTAATAGTACCAGTTCTATGTTGATTAACAAGTCTTCTGGCGTGTCTGGTGTGCGTCTCGTTTTTTGCTGTACCGATCTTAATTCCCAAGTCTGCCATTCTGGCGAGTGATGTGGATTCACTGCCACCAAAGTCCTCTATCCTTCCCATTTCTCGGAGGGCATTGATAATATCAGCATGATCCATAGGCTGACCGTCGGTAGTGATAGCGGATCCAGCCAACCTGTCAGCTCTTTCATTTCCATCGACGCCTGCGTGTCCCGGAACAAAAATAAAGGTGACTCCACGCACAGTGGACTTCTGTAATGATTCAAGCCATTGTCTGCGCACTGAACCTGCTTGAACCCTCCGGATCATACTCATTGAATCCATAGGCTGACCGTCGGTAGTGATAGCGGATCCAGCCAACCTGTCAGCTCTTTCATTTCCATCGACGCCTGCGTGTCCCGGAACAAAAATAAAGGTGACTCCACGCACAGTGGACTTCTGTAATGATTCAAGCCATTGTCTGCGCACTGAACCTGCTTGAACCCTCCGGATCATACTCATTGAATCACTGAGTATACACATGCGGGTGTATTTTTGTGTTTCAAGCCAGGCAAGCGCTTGCGTCACTGCCATCACCTCCATCGTCATGCTGCTGGTTGTCATGTAGAAGGCGCCGTTGGCTTCTTTGACTGTTCTGCCCGCTGAGCGTGCTGTAAATGCCCATGCGCTTCTTCTTTGGCGTATAACGGATCCGTCTGTATAGATTATTGCATCTGCTTCATCTGAATTTTCACCGATGAGAGCGTTGACCTCTGCATTAACAGCGACAGGATTCTCTTCTCTACATCGCCTGTTGAGTGTGACAATATAGGAAAATGTACAAATGAACGCCTGAGGCACAGGTATCCATTCTGCACCAGGTATGATGTCGGTTAGGCTGCATATTTGCCTAATAACATCTTCTGCCCGACCTAGCCACGATTTCCCCCTCTTCAGTCTGTCGCCCTTTTCACTAAAAAGCGCTTGATGCAGTGGGTGTTTCTTATCAGCACATATTTTGAGATATGCCCGAGCCCTCCACATCCTGATCCTTTGGTTCATTGTTGGAAAGTCAAGTAGATACCTCATTGCTCCACATGATGTGTCTCTTGTACATCCCAAAATAATGTGCATGGCTTCATTTTGCACCTTTTCGAGTCGTTCAATCTGGGTAGCACTGACAGTGAGGATGGCCAGAGCGTATTCAATGGGGGAAAGGACAGTAACCCATAAGTGCTCCATTTTACTTCTAACTCAACTCTGAGTCCGAAAAAGCTCAGCATAGTGCACAGGCTCTGTAGCACCGGCGAGAATCCTGAAATACTTTGGATAGATTTTTAACTCCAAATTTTGCCCGGGCAGCGCCCATAGGCTACTCTTTTCGATTTCCAACCGCCAAGGGATTTTTTTTACATATGCAACAATGCACACGGGCGTCCGATCTCACTACCCAGAGACCAGGGGGAATTACTAGAAGTCCTATTCCCAGTGAAAAAATCCTAGCCCTTACCGGGGATTGAACCCAGAACTTCTAGCACTGGAGGCAGACAGCCTTCCTCAGGACCATGCAGCCCCCGACTGTGATAGCATAACGATAACTAAAACATATTATGCCACTAGGTGCTGCTTTTACATCAATATTCCCTTTTTGCTGTATCTGCTTTGACACTTCATCAACCAGTATTTATTACTTTTGCGTTTTCTCTTTATCCTCTTAGTCATTTAACTTTTCTTCCTTCTTTTGCTTGTTCTCTCCAGTCCTTTCATTTTCTTTCATTTCTTCTCTCCATAAATTTCTGATAAGCTGCTGCTTTTTTCTCCTCTTCCACTGCTTCTTCTTTTTCAACTATTTTTCTTCTTTATCACTTTCTTTGTTCCCTGTGTGGGTTCCAGGGCCCTAATGTGGACAAAACAAAAACAGACCCACGACATCTCCAACAAGCATGTCGTAAGAGTCGACTAATTGGAAGTTTCCTTCGAAATCAGAGTGCATCTGCCTGATAGGCAAGGAACCAGCAGTCTGCATACAAAAAAGTCAGATATTTAAAACAGATGTGCATGCAACACCCAGGTTCTGGAACAAGTCTAAAGGCCAGAAGTGGATGAACTACCAGAACTTTCCACCAGAGTTTACAGCCGGTGAAAGCAAATAAGAAGAAAAAGAAGAAGACTATCTTTGTTCCTCTTCTCTTCCAAAGATCTTCCTTTGAGGAAAAAACCGTAAGATATCATCACTGAACTTTACAATGCCACTTGTCATCATGACAAGTAATGAATCCAAGGAACTGCAACTAAGAAACGTAACAAAGATGGGAAGGGGAAAAACGCATACACAGGAACACTTAAACATTTTTGCAGCAGCATTTTATTGACAAAAACAACAACAATCAAACAGCGAGTGGATCCACACAGCGTGTCCATACATTGAAAGACTAATTCAGCGGTGGGTAAACATAGATTCTAGACAATATTCAAAACTAAGGGGGAAACCCCATTAGCCCTATTGCAAAACAGCAAATAATTAATGGGATTTCATCCCTATTTTATGCTATCAGTGCCAAATAGGGCACTAGAACAGAAAAAAAAAAAAAACTACCTGTGAACTGGACTGTCTCTGCAAGGTAACTAACAACACATGAAGGGACAGGGTTAGGAATTCCAGCTTTAGAGAGAAAGTTGGGATAAGACCATGTCTGAACTATATTGACAGACAAAGAATGGAATGGTTTGGCCATTTAATAAGAATCCAGCCAGACCAGACTGCATATGAGATTTTTTTACAGAAGACCATCTGGGAGGAAGGCGAGAGGAAGACCAAGAAAGTATGGGTAAATGGTGTATCTGAAACCTGCAAAAAATATAAACAAATCCATCACCCAAGCCATTCAAGAAACACAAGACAAATACAGAAAACCATATCACTGGGCTACAACCTGGTATCAGTGAGACGGCAAAAGAAGAAGAAAAGGGGAAAACATAGATGGACTTTTAATCAGGTTGTTTTGTTGTCGTTTATTTTTCTATAAAGGCTGCTGCCAAAATATCTGATTGTTCCTGTGTATGTGGGTTTTTTTTTTTTCGACCTTCATTGAGCTACTTAGTAACAGTAGCTTAACTCCAGTCACTGTTGTTTTCATCACAAGACACATCTGACAAGACTTTCACAACTTACAAGACTGTTGGACTCTATTTCCACATTCTGAGGATCCTTGGGGTGAACCACAACAACAATTCTGTAGTTGCGGCCACCAGCAAGACCTTGGATGTTGAGACTGTTGTTGTTGAGTGGGAACATGCTACAGTAGCTTACACCATTCAGCAACAGTTGATATCTGGCAATCATGAAAGTTATGTTTTTAACCATTCAGGAATAGTTTACATCTGGCAATCATGAAAATTATGTTTGTAACCATTCAGGAATAGTTTACATCTAGCAATCATGAAAGTTATGTTTTTAACCATTTAGGAATAGTTTACATCTGGCAATCATGAAAATTATGTTTTTAAAAAATTATGCAATCATTTTTAACCATTCAGGAATAGTTTACATCTGGCAACTATTATAATAATTTTTTTTATTCTTTCAGGAACATTTTATATCTGGCAACAATTATAACTGTGTTTTTTTAACCATTTAGGAATACTTGTTACCTGGAAATAATTATAATTGTTTTTTTAACTTTTTTAACCACTCAGGAATACTTGTTATCTGGTAATAGTTAAAATAATTTTTAAAATAATTTAAAAATTTTTTTTTTTACTTTTTAGGAATACTTGATATCAGACAATAATTATAATAATGTTTTTAAACAACCCAGGTCTATCTGATATGCTGCAACAATTATAATTATGTTTTCAAACTATTCAGGAATATCTGATGCCTAGCAACACATATAATGATGTCTAAAACCAGTCAGGAATAAGTGGTATCTGGCAACATTTTTTTGAAATTCTGTTTAAAAACACACAGGTATAAATGTTTATAAGTTGGTCCGAGATTTAAGTCAAGTGAAGCTGGCCAGGGAAAAAACACATCCCAGCCCACGTATACATGCATGCGTGCACACATATACTAAAAAGTGACAAGATAACAGACACTGTTTCATGTCATAGTGCGTGCTGAATATATGGTGCTAACCCAATAGTTTTGGACAATGGTGTTCAACCTTGAGTAGGGGAGGGGAGGGGGAAGTGGCAATTTTGCAGGAATCTGATTCAAGAGCGTCACGTCAAGCAATTTTGAATTGAGTGCATTAGTACCTGTTACCTGTTTGATTTGTAATGTGCTGTTTTGTGCACATTGTTTTGCTTTCCTATTTCATTAAGCTTTTTAGTCACAGTTCACTGGATTAATTTCTTAGTCCCTGTTATACTAACATTTTTTTGGGGTCAGTTTTTCTTTGTGCATAGTCCAAACAAAGACCAAAAACAGCAGATATCATCAAGACAAAGCAGTGTCAACCATCACTTTGATGAGTTTGCACTAAATTACCAGTTTTTGATTACTGTTTTTTTTAAATGTTATTTGACTTGTTGATTATGTGAATGTTTTTCTCCAAATTCGGTAAGGTCAATGAATCTTATTCTCACTCAAAGGCAATATAAACATACATTACAACCAGATTGGCAGACAGCTGCTCCTGGCATTGCTAGTTATGAGTTAAGAACTGACATTATAGCACTCGATACATTCCCATAAGTGCTTAATCCCCATCTTCAGCAGCAAGCGTAGAGTTCCAATTCCAAAAGGTACCAGTAACAGCTTGTATTTCAGTCATGCCCCTCTACTGAATGTTGAGTGTCAGCCAGATCGGTTGGTCACCCTTATTGTTAGATGTCTTTACTATGTGTATTTACAACGTGTATTTATTACATGCATTTAATACTTGTTAACGTGGTATAGGACTGGGATAGGGGATGGCAGCTTAAGCTCGAGAATTTAGGGACACGTAGCTGGTGTAGTCACCATGGACTGTCCATGATAGGATATTTATTTTTGTTCAGACAGAAAATTTCTATCACCTTCCAAAGAGTTAAGCGCTGGTTTCCCAAAAGATAAACCAGCATTCTTAACCACTTAGCCAGCCGCTCCTCTGTTAGATCTTTAGACATATATAATATGTTATCCTCACTGATACACTAGGTCTCTGATTAAGAAGAGGTTTCTTTTTTATGTTAAATGCTTGCTTTGACCAGATTTAGGGTAAAATGAATGCCATAGGAAAGGTTGCAAAGCAATAATGTCACCCAGTTCAAAATTACCTGATATAGTATAAAAAAGGCCTATAATTTAACACATCTATGTTAATACAGGTCATAGGATGAATGAAGTATAAATTATTTGTTCTTCTTCTTTTTTTTCAGAGTTCCGAGCCCTTGAGCTTCACTGCTGAAGATATCACCTGCCTCCATTCATCTCTCTGTTTGGCATTCTCTTTCCAGTTTGGTGACACGTGTGTTTGCAGGTCTGTCTAGACATTATCTCTCCATCGCCTTCTTGGTCTGCCTTGTGGTCTATGACTATTCAGCTCCTTTATGTATACAGTTTTTACCTCTTTGTCATGTGAAATTCTCTCAGTAAGCTATGCTCCAGCCATTTCAGTCAATTAGAAATTTTGATTCCAGAGATCAATGCTGATTTAAACAGATTATGAATTTCATTGTTGCTTCTCACTCTCCATTCCCCACTGTTTGCATCTTTGAATAATTTAAGTGTTATCACCTATTATTTTATCTTTTTTTTTTTTTAAATAAAAAAAATGTAATAGATAAAAAGAATAGACCAAAACACTCATTATAAAATACTATACCCTTTGATTTGCTCTCTTGCAGACTCAGATTGTGGAAGATCCCAGAAAATATTGACACTTCCTGGCCCAGTGAAACAACCCTTGATGTGAGGCCGACAGTTCCACCAGTCCCACGAGGACAATCCTTGCTGGAAAAAATACCATCAGGAAATTAACTCTTTTAGGTAAAGATTAATATTTCCAGAATATTTCCAAATGTTTATAATGTCAGTCCAATATTTCTCATAGGAAACTGTATTTCACTTTTTGTTTTGCTGAGTTTTTTAAACCATGTAGAAACTGAAGATCTACAACACACTGTAAAATATACTTTGAAATGACAATCAGAGGTCACACACCCACCTCTCATGCATAAACACATGGTTCAATTTACAGGGTGTGTAGTCATAAATTCTAAAAAGATAAAGATAATACTCTAATCTCCTTTTGCTTTATGCATCCAATAAAAGAGAGCTTTCACCATTTTAACCCTGTAAAGTGGATTCCTGCTCAGAGAGGCTGCAGCCAATATATCAGACTACTCTTTTCCCTACACATCTGATATCCTGGACAGACAATCTAAAATATGCCCCTGAATTGAGTCTTGTCAAGTGGTATGCTGCAATAATGGGAGTTGCAAGGCAACCCTAGAGAAAATCTGTCCAGACAAACAATCTGGCAACTGAGTAGTGAGTTTGATTTAATCATGGCAAAGACTAAAATCCATGAAGCGAAGCATGTCATCCAAACTGGCACCATTCATCTATGACTTGGCCAAATCGTATCAATAGCTCCTATTCATATTTAATACATAATTAAATGTTTGCTCCTTGCTTCATGCTGCATCATATCCAGGCTACTCTCCCTAGCTATGCAAATTGGTTGGCTACAAATTTGCCAAATCAAAGACGAATGATGTGCATTTGGATTAAATGCTTTGTTTTATAGATGGCGTTTTTGTCTTGGCAATTATAAAGTGAATCTCAAGATTTATCTCATCATCAAGTGTCTTGCCAGCTTGTGTAGGTGTTCATGCATCACCACAGATCTTGGTCTTTGGTGTTATGGATCAATTCCACTGATGATATCCCTTTATGCCGCTGTCAGAAGCTATCCACTATCACTTCTCTTTGGTGTGCCTCTTCTACCAGTGATCTTTTCAGTCATCACAATAGTTTCCGGTGCTCCTTTTATCATCACATGACCAAAGAACTTTGTTTGTCTCCTTCTCATTGTTGTGTATAAAATGTGACTTTCATTAGCCATTTTCAGTTAACCACTGTTAGTTTTTCTGGCAGTCCATGGTATTCACAACATTCATCTCAAGAATCTTAAGAACCACATTTCAGTTGCCTCAAAACTCTTCCTAATTTGTTTGCCCACATTTCAAGACTAACTGCCACACTGCCAGAACAGGCTAGATACAGCATTTATCTACCAGACTATTCTTCTTCTCTTCTTCTGCCTTTCTATCCCCAATGGAGCATAGGCCCTCAACCAACTCACGCCAAGTCGTTCTATCCTTCGCCATTGCATGGAGCTCTCCCCATGTCCTCCCAATCTTTCTAACCTCGTTCTCCAGCTCTCTTCTCCATGTGTTTTTTGGCCTTCCTTTATTCCTATGCCCCTGTGGGTTCCAATGCAAAGACATTCTAGTAATGCTGTTCTCCTGTTTTCTCAGTGTGTGCCCTATCCAACACCAGCGTCTTTTCCTCACTTCCTGATCCACTGGAGCCTGTTTAGTTCTCTCCCAAAGTTCTACATTAGTTATTCTATCATACCATTTTATTCCCTCTATTCTGCACAGGCACCAGTTAATGAATGTCTGTAATTTATTAGTAATTGCCTTGGTTGTTCTCCATGTTTCCGCCCCATACAATAGTACTGATTTGACATTAGAATTAAAAATTTTTAGTTTAGTATTTCTTTTCATTTTTTTTTGACCTCCACAAATTCCCTAGTGCTATGAAAGCCCCTCTTGCCTTTTGTATTCTTATTTTAATATCTCTATCAGTTCCTCCATCTTTATCTACATTACTGCCTAAATAGATGTACGACTCCACGTCTTGGAGTGGGGTGCCTTTAAGAGAAACCACACTACTATTTGCCTGATTTATTCTCATTATCTTTGTCTTTCCTTTATGGATTTTCAGACCAAGCTGCTTTGATCTCGCATTAAGTATATTTAATTTATCTTGCATCTGATTCCGTGAATGGGACAGAAGAGCAATATCATCAGCGAAGTCCAGATCATCAAGCTGTTTTGTAGGGGTTCACTGAATTCCATTCTTGGTGTTAGCAGTTACTGCTTTCATAGTCCAGTCTATAGCCAGTAAAAATAAGAGAGGCGACAAAAGACATCCCTGTCGCACACCTGTTTTTATTTCAAATGCATCTGTTAGCTTTCCCTCATGAAGAACTCAACATTTCATGTCTTTATATGTTGCCTTTACTAAGTTGATAATTTTCTGTGGGATTCCATAGTGCCCCATCAATTTCCAGAGAGATTCCCTATCTATGCTGTCAAATGCTTTTTCATAGTCTATAAATCCAATGTAAAGTGGTGAGTTCAGTTCAATGCTTTCTACCAGACTATATATAAATATAAATGTCCAGCGATGATGTTCTGATATAAACTAAGCAATCCATTCAATGCCTAACTGGCAACCAACAAATCCTGTGAATGTCCCAGTTCAAACAAACCAGTCTAGTCAATGTCCCAAAGGGAGCTAACCAATGAAATGAATACCTTGACAGAAACAATTATTCACTGAACTTTTCCAATGATGTATATTCATCATTTCAATTAGTGCGCGCCTATTCCACACCTTGTCTGTAGAGACTTACCTGTTTGCTTTCTACTGGAAGTGAACTGGGTGCTTCATCCATAGAATCATCTTTATTCTTATCCCCAGATAAAACCCAGTAACATCTGTGAGAAAAAAAAAGTTAACTAGATAGTAAACTAAAAAAAATTTTTATACTGATAGTAAGTACCTTTAACATTCATTAAATAATTCCCTTATTGGTTGTTCATTAATGTCCAAAAATGACTTATTCATTTGACGCATGTTCATACATGCACATACTTATTGAATGATCAGTATGTGTTGCTTTTTGGAAAAATACTGACACAATTATTCCCCACAATAACTTAAAGTCTAGTAATCGTAACTTCAGACACAACAATAACGCAGCTTATATTGCAGTTTACCCTAGAATGTGCCTGTTACAAAGAAACAAATTGTTATATTTTATCGTCTCACAGACTCTACAAAATCAAATGGAATACATAATTTTTTTTGGGGTCTGCAAACATTTTTATTTTCTGCTATTCCCTGTGTGTGTTTCAGGGCCCCACTGGAAAAAAAAGGGGGGAGGGGGAAATAGTAACAGACCCACTAACAAGCCATACAAGGTGACTAAGTAGAGGTGTTTCCTTCAAAGTCAAAGTGCATCTCCCTGAAGTCGAGGAACCAACAGTCTGCATACACATCTGCCAAATCTGCATACACATAAGCCAAATCTGCATACACATAAGCCAAATCTGCATACACATAAGCCAAATCTGCATACACATAAGCCAAATCTGTGAAATGGATGTGCTTGCAAAACTCAAGTTCAGGAATAAGATCAGAGTCCAGAAGTTGACAAACAACCAGAACTTTCTGGCAGATTTTACAGCCAGTGAATGCTAAGGAGAAGATTTTTTTGTTATGTGTTCAAAACTCTTTTATTTGTAACCATTCTTTGACAATACAGTGACAAATATCTTTCAATTTATAATTCAGGAATTCTGTATTTTTTTAAACATTTGATTGTGTGGCAAAGTTGATGTCAGTAAAGTTTAATATCTAGCTGAAATGCAAAATAAATTTTAAAATTGTGTTTATATCTTCTTTTTTAACAATGTTGAAAAACCAATAATTTTAGAGAAAAACACTTTTTTTTAAACAGTCACTGCTCTGTAAACTAATTTGCTTAACTCTTAGTGCATCAGCACAGAATCTATATTTTATCACTCAATTTTATAGTAAATTAAGAGCCATTATTTACAACAGAAATCAGAATCACATTGTTTTAGACCAAATTACTGAATTCATCAATGGTCAATAACGTTCTCATAATAAATAAGTAGAATTTAACAAGTTTACCTCGATGTGAACACATGGCTACAGACTTGCTCAGGTTTAGAGGCCATTGCTCTGACAAAACACAGACCTGGTTCCTTCAAGAGGATTCCCCTGTCCTTCTTGTAATGCTGGAGATGATAAAGACAATGTCTGGACGTATGCATGCTGATATAAACCTTGAATGTTGAATGTTGAAACAAGAATTGACATCACAGCACTATGGACACCCTAATAAGTGCTCCGTTCCCATCTTCAGTAGCAAGTGAAGAGTTACAATTCCAATGGTACTAGTAACTGTGACTGTATATCCATCTCGCCTTTCCCCTGAGTGTTGAGCATTGGCCAGATCCCCTTGTAACTCCTCGCAGCACCATTCTCCTCAGACCATAATAATCTGTCTGTTTGTCATACATCAGTTCACCACTAAGTGGTACAGTACTGGCCAGTCTATCTGTCAGCTCATTTCCCAAAACACCGGCATCACCTGGAGAAAATATCTAAAGGATGCTAACTAACCCGGACATTTGAAGTGATGCTTGCCACTCTGCACGGAGTATGCTTGTTTCCACCTTTCTCAATATGCTCTGTGAGTCAGTTACAATGACGACATGTGTGTACAGCTGATTCTCAAGCCAGCAGAAGGCAGCAGTAACTGCTGATATAAACCTTGTAATGTTGGAAAGAATAAAGAAAGTTTGTCGACAAACACCTGTGCACAAAAGCCTTGAAATTTTGTAGAAGATAAAGAGAATGTTTGGACATATACATGCTTATAATAAATATGCCGTAAAACGAGATAAAGAGAATATCTGGACATAAACATGATCATAATAAATGTGCTATAACACTGGAGAAAAAAGAATATCTGGACATAAACATGATCATAATAAATATGCCATAACACTGGAGATGATAAGGAAAATATCTGGCCATAAACATGCTCATAATAAATATACTGTAACACTCATCACCTATCAGGTGCCATCTCCACATTGAAGGTTGGCTGCAATGGTTCTCCAGCATACTCTGTCTTTTGTCCTGGTTGTACACTATCTCAGACTGCTGCCTCTTGATGTTGTCCTCCCACTTGTATTATAGCCTACCTCTTGCTCTCTTGCCTTCGACCTTTCCCTCCAGTATGGTTTTGAATGTCTTTTAATGTGGTTAAAGTATTTCAATATTCTCTTTTTTATTTCTTTCCATATTTCTATTTTCATTTCCAAGAAGAGGAAGATGTGCACTTTCAAAACTTGTGTGCCTATAATTTCAGCTATAGTTTGTCAAACATGTGGATTGTTCAGCAGAAGTCAGAAACAGACTGGCCTTGGCAATGCAGTGGTTAAACGCACTAACACTTCCACACCATGAATGCTAAAAAAAAAATAGTTCATGAACTCGTGGGAATTTCCTTAAAAAATATTTTAAAACAACCATTTACCACTGATCACAAATAAATATTTAAAAAAAATGTATTTATCTATACTTGAATAGTTATTTTTAAATTTATGTAGATACATAGAATAGATAATCAATAAACACAGAGTTAAGCATAAAATGGAATTTCCCTGGCCTAAAAAACAAAAACAATTTGTAACTGGTGACTCACGTTGTGACCCTATGACCTCTATCACTGAGGGTTACGGAAAAATCAGACTTTAACTTTGCTTGTACAAAAGTCATTAAGGTCATAAGGACCCCCATCCCCCCACTATTTTTTTGCCTATGATCTTTTTAGTTATTATATTTGTATCCTGGCCTATTACCACTGAGGAGGCCGAAACAGAACCAATGAAATTTAACTACATCACTCAAGAGCAGGTCACTGCAAACAAACCCATATTTAAGAATTTAAGGGACTGTGTCAAAACCAGAAATTACTAGATTTAGCATTCTCAGGGCTATAAGTTTGATGGACTACAGCACTGATGTATCTGCAGGTGACCTCACTAACATGTCAATGCTGTGCTAAAAGACAGAGACGAATTACCTTAGTTGCATAGTGGTGCAGCCCCGGCATGGAACCGTCTGTGGTGTAGTAGATCTCAGCCCCCTCTGTTTTACAGGCCAGGTCAACCCTATAATAACGTTCAACGGTTCCCCCTTTCTTCTCCGATATGTTGTACGGCTCAGCCGTCTGCACAACTAGGGATATTCAAACATATAGTCCAGTCAATATACTAGTCAACCAATCAATACACTTAGCAATATCCAACTGAAATACATTCAACAAAATAACCATCTAAAGAAGCCACTAACATTAAGTAACCAATGAGCTTTCCACACATAAATCAACATTCTAACCAATTAACATGTATGATCCACATTACACCCCTGGATATCATACAGAAAACAATCTTTCTGACAATCTAAGATAGTTTTCTGTTTGCACTTTTGTTTGCAGCAACTGAGCAAATGAGTAACTGCCAGGACTGCAACAAGACTAAACTACAAAAATTACATGATTTAACCCTTTCACCCCTGGAACACTGTAAAAAACCACACACACGTCTGCACTGACATACGCACACACACATGCACTACGTTACTATATATGTATGACATATTGGTGCAAACAGAAATTCTGATTGTAGTGTGCAAAGTACATACTTTAATCTATAATGTGTACATAATTATTTGTACAACTACATACTCTTACTATACATACTTTCATCTCTGATGTGTACAAGTCATGATTGGTAAAACCAGATACTCTCATAGCATATACTTTTATCTCCTGATGTGTGCAAGACATGACTGGTACATACTTTTATCTCCTGATGTGTGCAAGACATGACTGGTACATACTTTTATCTCCTGATGTGTGCAAGACATGACTGGTACATACTTTTATCTCCTGATGTGTACAACACATGACTGGTACATACTTTCATCTCCTGATGTGTACAAGACATGACTGGTACATACTTTTATCTCCTGATGTGTACAAGACATGACTGGTACATACTTTTATCTCCTGATGTGTACAAGACATGACTGGTACATACTTTTATCTCCTGATGTGTACAAGACATGACTGGTACATACTTTCATCTCCTGATGTGTGCAAGACATGACTGGTACATACTTTCATCTCCTGATGTGTGTACAATACATGACTGGTACACAACTTTCATCTCTGATATGTGACATGACAGTACATACTTTCATCTGATACATGTGTACATACTTTCATCTCCTGATGTGTACAACCACATACTGACTTACTGTACATACTTTCATCTCTGATGTGTACAAGACATGACTGTACATACTTTCAAACAAACACATGACTGGTACATACTTTCATCTCTGATGTGTACAAGACATGACTGGTACATACTTTCATCTCTGATGTGTACAAGACATGACTGGTACATACTTTCATCTCTGATGTGTACAAGACATGACTGGTACATACTTTCATCTCTGATGTGTACAACACAGGAGTAGCCAGGGGCACCCTGGGAAGCAACCGTGTAGTCCCCAGCTTCATCAAAAGTATACAAAAAACAGTTGTTGTCCAGGGGCTTTCCACTGTTGAATGCCTTAGGTCCAGTTATTGGGTTCAGGGGAGCCTGAGAAAAATGTCACAAGATGATGGTAATTCCCAGAAATGCTACTTTCTGTTTGTGCCTGTCTAACTTGTCTGTACTGTATTTTAGTGCATCACCATTTTAACTATTTCATTCTTTCATTTCTGGTGGTCACCCACATGTCAGAGATTCGACTGGCCAGACAGATGTGTGATTCCTCTTAGTAAAACTTCAGCTAAGTGATTTTGTGTATTTCTGTTTGTGTCTGCAACATTTACTTATCATTTGTTATAGCGATACTGGAAAGCTAACTGGTTCTACTTTTAATGTGGTTTGATACTGTTTCTTCATAATTTCATGGTGGAAGTTTTGATAATGGTTTAAAATAGTTCGTCTGGATGTATTCCAAAATTTCCCATAATGATGTTCTATTTAAACCATCTCAAAGCCAACAAAATTCAAATTATGGGTTGTTGTTTTTCAATAATTCCTCAAAAATAAGTCTCACAGTAAATATTTAATCACTGCAGCTTCTTCCAGGTCAAAAATCTGCTTGTTCCTCACTCAAGATTGTAGCCAATACCCATTTAACTCTAGAGAATTATTTTATAAAAAGTCTTTGACATTACTGATAACAGAGTAATTCCCCTCCAGCAGTTCTAGTCAATAAGATTACCTTTTCTCTGGAATTTAAACAATTATTCCTTTCTTCCACTGATCTAGGATTTTCCCCTCTGTCCAAATTCTATTAAACAAATCTTTCACTTGGTTTATGGTTACATCATCTGTTGTATTGAGCATTTCCGCATTATTTTCATCATCCTCTGCTGCCTTATTATTTGCAAAAGAATTGATTGTCTCCCTGATTTCCACGCCATTTATCTGTCTTACATTTATTGGTACTATGGTCATTTTAGCCTCTTCATCAATTCATTGTTTTTTTTTTAGACCAGGTCTGTTTAAGATTTCTTGGAAGAGTTCTGCCCATCTCTTCTTCTGCTGAGTATCAGATGTAAGCACAGTACCATCCTTACTTTTAATGGGACCACCTGCAGTTTGACAGTTCTAGTCAACTGTTTTAGTGCATTGTATATAAATTTACTTTTTCTACTCTTAGCTGCTCGTTTTACATCTTTAGCTAGTCTATCAACACATGCTCTCTTATCTCGTCTTGTACAACTTTGATTTACCTTTCTTATTGTAAACTTCTTCAGCAACGATTTCTTGTTCCATTGTTTTAGCATTGCATATAGCAAGCTTCAATGCCATTCTTTCCTGAATACACTGCTTTGTGTGTTCACTTATCTAGGGTTTTCTCCCACACCTGTTTAGTCCTGCATTAATTTTTGCTGCTTCAAAACTTTGGTCTTTACATCATTTCGGTTTTCTCAATACTCTGATCTCCCTCTACTTCAAGTCTTCCAATCCGTTCTTCAGCTCAAGCTGGAACTCTTCTCCAATACACTTATGAATTTATATCTCATGTTACTTGAGGAGAATTGTGTGCACATGTGAAATATCTGTCTAGACAGCTGGGTTCATCTGGGTAGATCTGACATCACAACATTCAGGAAAGCCCCCATTAGCTGCTTCTCTCCTCTAGTCTGCGTACAAAATAAGCAAGATCTGTAAAATTGATGTACATGCAAAACTCACTTCCTGGAACAAAGCTAAAGTCTAGAAATGGATGAACAACCAGGTCTTTCCGCTGAGGTTTACAACCGGTGAACACAAACAAACAACACCACTTGCAACGTATGGATTGATGCGACCCATTCCATATGAAGAAAACCTGACTTCACCTTCCTAGGGAACTTCAGACAGATGAATTACATTCAGAACTTACGTCACTTTTAGGATCGGTGACATGGATGATGTTGTGTTGCTCTGTGGAGCCTCGCCAGGTCCACATAACCGTCTTGCCCTGTCAGAAATACAGAATTGTGTGCACTCCACTTCAAGTACATTTTTTCTGCTTAATAATGCCAGGTAAACATCGGTCAAGTAAATATCTTTTCTTTGATAAAATTGGGGTGCAAATCAGTCAAGTAAATATCTTCTGTTTAATAAAAGTGAGGTACAAGTCAGTCAAGTAAATATCTTCTGTTTAATAGCAGTGAGGTACAAGTCAGTCCAGTAAATATCTTCTGTTTAATAAAGGTGTAATATGTGTCAGTCAAGTAAATATCTTTTGTTTAATAAAAGTGAGGTACAAGTCAGCCAAGTAAATATCTTCTGTTTAATAAAAGTGAGGTACAAATCAGTCGAGTAAATATCTTCTGTTTAAAAGCAGTGAGGTACAAGTTTGTCAAGGAAATATGTTCTTTTAAATAAAAATGAAGTAGAAGTCAATCAGGTAAATATTTTCTGTTTGATAAAGGTGTAGTATGTGTCAGTCAAGTATCTTCTGTTTAACTACAGTTACGTACAATCCAATCAAGTTAATATGTTCTGCTTAAGAACAATGAGGTAAACTGGAATCGAGGCCTCATCTCTCTGGTGATTTTGCTTCAGTGTCTTTCCTGGCTTGTCTTTCCTGAATTGCTGCTGCAGTTCTAGCAACTTCATGGGTCATAGCTCCTCAATGAAGAGAGGAGTACTAGGATGAGTGGTCACATGCAGCCACTTCCCAGGTTTTAGGATCAATACAGAAACTTTCAGTGAGGTCTTGAGGTTGTCCTTGAAATGTTTCCTCTGCCCACCTTGAAAGCATTTTCCTTTTTTTTTTAGCTTACCATAGTAAATTATTTTTTGGCATGCAGATTATATGACCTGCCCAGCAAAGTTGAGATTGTTTTAGAATCGAATGAATACTAGGCAGTCCAGCTCTGTCAAGGACTTTAGTGTCAGGGATCCTGTCTTGCTATTTTATGTTCAGCAACATTCTGAGGAATACTGTGTGAAAATGGTCCAGCTTCTTAGCATGGCGCTGGTAATTGTTCCACAATTCAGATGCACAGACAGTGAGTAAAATAGTGAGGAACAAACTGATGAGAGTAATGTGGTTTCTGAGAATAATTCTGAGCATTTCAAAGAAGGCCAAGAAAGAAAAGGCTGAGCTATTACCACCTACAGGCTTTGCAAGACCATTCATCAAAACTATATTCTTTTTTTTTTCTCTTTCTTCTTCCTCCATTTTCTTCTTCAGCAATAAGGGCCCTTGAGGTTCCCTGCTGCAGATATCACCCACCTCCATTCATCTCTTTAATTGGTCTTCTCTTTCCAGTTGGTGACTCCCTGTGTCGTTGTTGGTCTGCCCAGATATTATCCCTCCGTATTGTCTTCTTAGAATTTTTAAAGCATGCATCTTCCATGTAGCAACATACAGATGTGAGTTGTGGACTATCTCTCAGTCTCGTGAACTATCTCGGAGTCCTGTGGACTATCTCCCAGTCCCATGGACTATCTCCCAGTCCCGTGGACTATCTCCCAGTCCCGTGGACTATCTCCCAGTCTGGTAGACTACATCCCAGTCCCATGGACTATCTTCCAGTCCCATAGACTATCTCCCAGTCCCGTGGACTATCTCCCAGTCCCGTGGACTATCTCCCAGTCCGGCAGACTATCTCCCAGTCCCATGGACTATCTCCCAGTCCCATGGACTATCTCCCAGTCCCGTGGACTATATCCCAGTCCCATGGACTATCTCCCAGTCCCGTGGACTATCTCCCAGTCCCATGGACTATCTCCCAGTCCCATGGACTATATCCCAGTCCCGTGGACTATCTCCCAGTCCCGTGGACTATCTCCCAGTCCCATGGACTATCTCCCAGTCCCGTGGACTATCTCCCAGTCCCGTAGACTATCTCCCAGTCCCGTGGACTATCTCCCAGTCCTGTGGACTATCTCCCAGTTCCGTGGACTATCTCCCAGTCCCATGGACTATCTCCCAGTCCGGCAGACTATATCCCAGTCCCATGGACTATCTCCCAGTCCGGCAGACTATATCCCAGTCCCATGGACTATCTCCCAGTCCGGCAGACTATATCCCAGTCCCATGGACTATCTCCCAGTCCTTTTGAGCTGAAATGCTATAGAAAGATTCTCAGAATATCTTGGACAAAGAAGAAGAGAAATTCTGAAATCTTGAAAGATCTGAACATCAAGAAATATTTTGGTCATATCAAGCGCCATGACGGATTGGAAAAAATAATAGCAGAAGGCATTGTTCCAGGAAGGAGGAGCAGGAGCCGACAAACACAAAGATGGTAACAGGATATAAGTGACTCCTTGAGTATGAAAGTACATGAGGCGGGAGAGCTGGCGAGAGAATTTCTTTCAGACAGACCGTGATGAGAGAGATGTTCTGCAAAAGACCTGCTAAATGATGATGATGATGATTGTCTTCTTGGTCTGTATCATGGTCTAGTCCAGTTCAATCCTTTTATGCAAATGTTTTCATTCTCTATGTCCCAATCATTGCAGAGTGTTAGCCGTCATGATTCCAGTAACATAGTGGCAATTAAAACAGTTCTGAGTTTTATAGTTGCTTTTCCTTCATCCAAACTTTAAAGAAAAAATGAAATGCATATGGCAAATCATCTTCTTCTTAAAGTCCATGCTGTGTATTGTTTGTAGTCATGTCTATCCACAACCTTCTGTTTCACATATTTTCAATCAACTCTGACACATGATCCTCCATGCCATGATGTCAAACTGCCCAGTATCTTTACTCTCCATCTCCCTCTACCTCTCCTCCTCTCCAACATTCCTACCCTCATAATGTATCTTTTTCCTTCTCATCACATGACCAAAAAATGTAGATTGTCTCTTTCTAATGTGAGCAATCAGTTCTCTTCGTGAGCCAGTTTCTTTCAAGGCATTCTCATTACTCTTTTTATTTGCCTAGGCTTTTTCATCTATAAAACCACATCTTCGCAGCTTCTAAATAATTTTTCACTAGTTTACTGTCTATGATTCACATCCATATATCAAGATAGGATTTATAAAGCTTTTAAGAATTCTCTTTCTCATCTCAACTGACAAGGACAGATTGCACACAATATTCTTAATTTTGTGAAATGCTGCGGCAAAGCATAGGA